CGCAAGCAGGATGAGCATATTGGTTGGGTGGGGCTCCACCCGGAGCCGCGACTGGAGACGGCCAACGGTCTCTCCTCTCACTTCTTGGATCGGCTGTTGTTTCACATCCCCCAGGGACTGGTGTGGCCGTCTGCTTGTCTACCTTGGTAGGGTCGCCCGCGAAGGCAAGCTTATGGTCCGTAAGGGCTTCGCCCCCTGCCGCCGGCCCCCTCTCTATCGGAATGGGATATATCAGAGTTGCGTCGGTGCGGTTGGCGCTACCTTGGCGCATCTAGGAACATCATGCGGGGGCGGATAGGAGTCATCATATCATACTGAGACGTTGGCGCTATCCTAGTGGTGTTCGACCCATCCCGCCACCGTGCCTGGGTTGTGGGTCTGAGGCCTCTTGTGTATGTGTTGGGGTGTCGTTCGGAGCCTCTCGGGGCGCCTCTTGAGGGCCTCTTGGGCCTCGTGGGATATCTTTTGGTCTTCTTGAAGGCCACGCCTCTTGTGGCCTCCTGGGGGCTTTTCGGGCCACAGATATCGAATGTTCGGTTTGTGGTCCCCTGCTTGGGCCCCTCTTGGGGCCGTCTTTGGGCCCTCTTGGGCCGTCTTGAGCGCTTCTTGGGCATCTTGGAGCCCTCTTGGGCCGTCTTGGGGCCCTCTTGGAGGCGTCTTGGGCTGTGTTGGGGTGATCTTGGGAGCTTCTTGAGCCGTCTTGCAGCGTCGGAAAGCCGAAAATGCGAGAAGGCCAAAATTCGTCAAAAACCTTCCGGTAACATCTACGATGTTGGCCTCTTGGGGCTCTCTCGGGAGGCCTCTCGGAGCGCTCTGGGGGCATCTTTAAGCCCTTTTGGGCCGTCTTGGAATCATTTTCGGGCGCATTGGATCACTCTTGGCCTCGGCAGTGCGAGTACGGAGAAAGTTGCGAGGGTTTATGGTTTCGGGGACGCGAATATAGCGTAAGTTCCAAGGGTTTGTTGCCTCGGGGACGCAAGCATTGAGTAATTTACAATGGTTTGTGGCCTCGGGGACGCGACCATTTTGTAATTTACGAGGGATTATGGCCTCGGGTGCGCGAGTCTCACGTATTTTTACATGTCCCATGCATCCCGGGGATTCAGAAATCGCGATGCGGGCGTGGTAAATGGCTGGTTCGGGGCTCTCCCCGCGAGGATTTCAGCAGTTTACAATAGGAATCAGAAAGCAGGACTGTCACATTGGAGACTTGAAACTGCATCAGGTGCAGGGAGCAGCACACTGCGCCCTACAGCCTGGTGGCCCCACAAAGGGGGCCGGCGGATTTTTGTGGCGCATCTCGATGTTCATGCCGTTGAAGCTTGCATGCAGGTTGAGGTCCAGATATTTGTAAGCGACGCCAGATCTGACAACCTCAAAATTGTTGCCATGGTCAACGTCAGTGACTCCCTGATGCGTGTTGCGCAAAATCTGGGTGACACGAGCTACGCGTGCGAAAGTTGAGCACGTGTACATCCCCTGCGTACCGCGATGCCGTAAAGTCCAGAAATCGCTGCCGCCATCTTGTCATCCAGTGCGCGCTCAAAAGATGGGGGGTCTTCGATTTCCCTCCCCGCTCTGGGGCTGTCAGAATCGCCACTAGGGGCCCTCTTGGAGCGTCCTTTGTGCGATCTTGGGGCCGTCTTGGGGGCCTGTTGGGTCCCTCTTGAGCCATTTTGAGGCCTCAGAATCGCATCGGAATCGACACGGCGGGAAGGCACAACTCATTGATTGCGTTTGACGGATTATGGCCTTTTTTGGGGGGCGGTCTTGGTGGGCTCCGAGAGCACTTGGAGCGGGAGGTACCACCACCTCCCGAGGGGAAGAGAGTTTTGGACGAGGAGGGAAAGAACCCGTTAGACCCTCTGCGTCCACAGACCTGGTGGGATTCTTGACGTTTCGCGCATCCCCCTTTCCCATCCAGGATGCCCATGCGAGCTGACGTGAGAAAGGAGGACGAGACACACATTGCGAAACACAGGGGCCACAACGGTGAGCTGAGAGCTCTCTGGGAGCCAGGGTGGGTATCCTAGATGGCCTCTTGGGCCATCTCTTCGGCCCGCGTCAGAGTAAACCCCATGTGCGCCACCGATGATGCAACACTGTATCTACCGTATCAAGTATGAGCCAAGTCTGAAAGCAGCAGACAACCAGCACAGGCAGGCGCTATCCTCAAGACACAGGCTCTCATTGTGTCGTTTACTCGTTCCAGCTCATTGGCCTGCGCTAGAACTTGGAGCGCGCGGGTAGCGTGCGCGTTATTGTAGCAAGAGTGTGCGTACAGTTTCCTGCACGTGTTCAGGAACGATTTGGACGGTCATTCGTGTTGTTATGACATCCTAACCCAATGTGATATTCAGTATGTGTATCCCATGGTGTGGAACAACGACGGGCAATTCGACTCGGCTTAGATCGTCTTTGCGCCTGTTACACCCCCACCCCAGGACATCACCCAGATCTCCTTGGACCCCGACGACTCCTCGAAAGGCTTCAAACTCAGGCCGCACTAGTTGCCACCGCAATTGCGTTCGTCCAGTAGACGTCACGGGCGTGGTCAACGTCGCCCTTCGCCACCTGTGATGCGGGATCATGATGGCGCCGTGGATTGTTTCTCCAGTCATCGTTTGTGCTGGTGTTGGGCCTTGTTGTGAATCCGCAGCGCCCTCCCGTCTCCTCACCCCCCCGCCCCCCCTCTCCCAAATTCCCTTTCCCTTGTTTCCCGACTCTCATGTGTTTCGGTCCTTTGAATCCGCGGCGCCCCCGCGTCTCCGTCATACGTATTTCTCCTCCTCCTTCTCCTCTTCCTCGCTCCTTTCGCCCCATTTCGGCACAACCCAGGCGTGTCGCGGCACCTTCCCGCGGCACCTCCCGGAGCCCTACCGATGGTCTCGGCGGGGCCGCCCGTACGGCGGCACCGCTCGCATTCCGACTGACATACTCATCACACGCTTCGTGGCCTCACAGGGAGCTCCATCGACCGTCTCAGTGGGACTGGACTGTAGGAGTGGCACCATCGCTTTTTTTCGACACACCCCTCCCGCGCCAATTTTCCGGCACACATCTCGGGGCGCGTCGGGGCCCCACGGGGAGCTCCGCAGACGGTCTCCGTGGGACTGACCGCATAGCGGGAACGCCCCCATTGTGGCACGCCTCTCACACATTTCGTGGACGCACATGAAGATCCAACGACGGTCTCTTTGGGACCGCCCGCGTGGCGCCATTGCCCCCATGTCGGCACACTCCTCGTGCGCTTCGTGGCCCCGCAGGGAGCTCCACCGACGGTCTCAGTTGGACTACTGGCATGCAGACAACGCCCCCATTTCGGCACCCTCACGCGCTTCGTGGCTCCCAGAAGCTCCGCCGACAGTCTCAGTGGGACCGCCCGCATGGCGCTACTGCTTCTTTTCGGCACACCCCTCACGAGGACAGGACCGTGGCCCCATGGTGAGCTCGAACTACGGCTCCATTGTCAGGGTCCGCATGGCGGACGCCTCGTAGGGGGCTCCATTTAGGGCCCCGTTGGAAGGGTCCGCATGGCGGCGCCTTCCTATGGTGGCCGCCTTCCGTCTCGGCACCCACCCAATTTTGGTTGAATATTTGAGATTTTGGCCAGACCGCACTCATGGAGAGATCAGTGGGCTTATTTTTGAAATTATGAGGCGAAGGTGGAGGCGGATGGGAAGGAGTAGTATTATGCCACATAGAAAGAATTGCTCTATTCAGGGTTGGCCCGAGGGAGTTGACCAGGAGGGTTGGCCAGCTTACTGGGGGTTTGGCCAGGGGGGTTGTCCAGGCTTATCGCTACAGGGGAAGTTTGCACCATCCCGATGTCCATACGAAGCGTTTCCATTGGAAGCGGTAGTGCCGAATTCCGTGGCGGGAATTTATACATGACCACCGCTTGGAGGGTCAACTTTCGGAGCTTCGGCAGGCGGTGGATATGGACAAATTCGGGCCCCCGGGGGCCGAAATATATCAATATCCACCGCCCGCTGGGGCACCAGGGCGTCGGTTCCCAGGCGGTGGATATGGATAAATCCTTGCCTCGCACGAACCTCTGTTCGATTCCCCTCGGTGCCTTAGGCATCGCAATGTTTTTATGTTTGTCGTTTTCCTACGTTTTCCTATTTCCTCGTCGTCCATCTCTTACACGTTTCCTCCTCGTCATCTTGAAGCTTCTTCCCCCTCGTCATCCTTAGTGTCCTCTTTCTTCCCTCCCTACTCCCTGCGCCTACGGGGGTACGGGGCTTTGGCGGGGCAATGTGTGGCTCTCGCCGTGTGGTTTCATAGACGACGCCTCAGCTGTTGGGGCAGAGCTGTCTGTGCGGCCCGTGCGCAGATGGCGATGGGCGGAGGGATGAGGACTTCTGTTGGACCTCCACGGACCACCTCTGACAGAAGCACAGACAGTGAGGGATGGAATGCGCCGGCCCCATCATCTCAGCAAGCCGGATCGAGCTCCAAACCACCTGTGCCTGCCGCACAGAGGGACGCCCGCGCGCGCGCGCGAGTTCGCCCTGCTGTCATGGATCGTGGAGTCCCCGAGCCAGATCCCGGCCATTTGCTAGTAGGCACGTTGCGAGTGGTAGAGCATGCTTGCCTAAGCACGGGGCGCGAACCTCCCGTCTTGCCAGCTGCCAGCCTCCGCCAGCCGCCTCTGCGCGCGCGCGTTCGCCCTGCTGTCATGGATCGCAGAGCCCCCGCGACGGATCTCGGCCATTTGCGAGTAGCCACGTGGCGAGTAGTGGAGCGCGCTCGTCTAGGCGCGGGGCGCGAACTCGCCGTCTTGCCAGCTGCCAGGGGCCTCCGCCAGCTGCCTTTGCGCGCGCGTTCGCCCTGCTGTCGTGGATCGTAGAGCTCCAGTCGGGTCCCGGCCATTTGCGAGTAGGCACGTTGCGAGTAGTGGAGCATGCTTGTCTAAGCACGGGGCGCGAACTTCCGTCTGGCCAGCAGCCAGGGGCCTCCGCCAGCCGCCTGCGCGCGCGAGCCTTTGCCCTGCTGCCGCGGGTCGTGGAGCCCCCGCGTCGGATCCCGGCCATTTGCGAGTAACCAAGGCGCTTGCCTAAGCACGGGGCGCCATTCCCCGTCTTGCCAGCTGCCAGCGGCCTCCGCCAGCCGCCTGCGCGCGCGCGTTCGCCCTGCTGTCGTGGATCGTAGGGCTCCCGCGTCGGATCCCGGCCATTAACGAGTAGCCATGTTGCGAGTAGTGGATCATGCTTGCCTAGGCACGGGGCGCCAACCTCCCGTCTTTCCAGCCGCCAGGGGCCTCCGCCAGCCGCCTGCGCGCGCGCACCCTTGCCCTGCCGCCGTGGGTCGTAGAGCCCCCGCGTCGGATCCCGGCCATTTGCGAGTAACCAAGTTGCGAATAGTGGAGCGCGCTTGTCTAAGCACGGGGCGCCAACTCTCCGTCTTGCCAGCTGCCAGGGGCCTCCGCCAGCCGCCTGCGCGCGCGCGTTCGCCTTGCTGTCATGGATCGTAGAGCCCACGCGACGGATCTCGGCCATTTGCGAGTAGCCACGTGGCGAGTAGTGGAGCGCGCTCGTCTAGGCGCAGGGAGCGAACTCGCCGTCTTGCCAGCTGCCGGGGGCCTCCGCCAGCCGCCTTTGCGCGCGCGTTCGCCCTGCTGTCGTGGATCGTAGATCCCCCGAGTCGGATCCTGACCATTTGCGATTAACCACGTTGCGAATAGTGGAGCGCGCTTGTCTAAGCACGGGGCGCGAACCTCCCGTCTTGCCAGCAGTCGGGGGCCTCCGCCAGCCGCCCGCGCGCGCGCGTTCGCCCTGGTGTCGTGGATCGCAGGGCCCCCGCGTCGGATCCCGGCCATTAGCGAGTAGCCATGTTGCGAGTAGTGGAGCGCATTTGTCTAGGCACAGGTCGCCAATGCCCCTTCTTGCCGGCTGCCGGGGGCCTCCGCCAGCCGCCTGCGCGCGCGTTCGCCCTGCTGTCATGGATCGTGGAGCTCTCGCGGCGGATGCCGGCCGTTTGCGAGAAGCCACGTTGCAAGTAGTGGAGCGCGATTGTCTGAGCACGGGGCGCCATATTCCAGTCTTGCCAGCAGCCGGGGGGTTCCGCCAGCCACCTGCGCGCGCGTTCGCTTTGTAGAACTCCCGCGGCGGATGCCAGCCATTCGCGAGTAACCCCGTTGCGAGTAGTTGAGCGCGCTGGTCGAAGCATGCGGTGCCAACTCCCCGTCGTGCCAGCTGCCAGGGGTCTCCGCCAGCCGCCTGCGCGCGCGCGGTCGCCCTGCCGTCGCGGGTCGCAGGACCCCCGCGTCGGACCCCGGCCACTTGCGAGTAGCCGCGTTGCAAGTATAGTAGGGCGCGCGCCGCCTTCGCGCGCGCGCGTTCGTCCTGCTGTCGTAGATCGTAGAGCTCCTGTGACGGATCTCGGCCATTTGCGAGTAGCCACGTGGCGATTAGTAGAGCGCGCTCGTCTAAACGCAGGGCGCGAACTCGCCGTTTTGCCAGCTCGCAGGGGCCTCCGCCAGCCGCCTTTGCGCGTGCGTTCGCCCTGCTGTCGTGGATCGTAGATCCCCCGAGTCGGATCCTGACCATTTGCGATTAACCACGTTGCGAATAGTGGAGCGCGCTTGTCTAAGCACGGGGCGCCACATCCGCGTCTTGCCAGCCAGCTGCCGGGGGCCTCCGCCAGCCGCCTGCGCGCGCGCGTTTGCCCTGCTGTCGTGGACCGTAGAGCTCCCGCGTCGGATCCCGGCCATTTGCGAGTAACCAAGATGCCAAAGTGTGGAGCGCGCTTGTCTAAGCACGGGGCGCCAACTCTCCGTCTTGCCAGCTGCCAGGGGCCTCCGCCAGCCGCCTGCACGCGCGCGCGCGAGTTCGCCCTGCTGTCGTGGATCGTAGAGCCCCCGCGACGGATCCCGGCCATTTGCGAGTAGGCACGTTGCGAGTAGCGGAGAGCGCTCGCCTAGGGACGGGGCGCCAATTCCTTGTCTTGCCAGCTGCCAGGGGCTTCCGCCAGCCGCCCGCGCGCGCGTTCGCCCTGCTGTCATGGGCCGTAGAGCCCCTGTGTTGGATCCCGGCCGTGTGCGATTAACCGCGTTGCGAGTAGTGGAGCGCGCTCGTCTCCCCGTCTTGCCAGCTGCCTGGGGCCTCCGCCAGCCGCCTTCGCGCGCGCGCGTTTGCCCTGCTGTCGTGGATCGTAGAGCCCCCGCGTCGGACCCATGCCATTTGCGAGTAGCCACGTTGCGAGGAGTGGAGCGCGCCTGTCTAAACGCGGGGCACCAACTCCCCGTCTTTCTAGCTGCCAGAGGCTTCCGCCCACCGCCTGCGCGCGCGCGTTCGCCCTGCTGCCGTGGATCGTAGAGCCCTCGCGTCGGATCCCGGCCGTGTGCGAGTAGCCGCGTTGCGAGTAGTGGGGCGCGCTCGCCTAGGCACGGGGCGCCAACTCCCCGTCTTGCCAGCCAGGGGGCTCCAGCCAGCCGCCTTCGCGCGCGCGTTTGCTCTGCTGTTGTGTGTCGTAGAGCCCCCGCGTCGGATCCTG